AAAGTATTAGCTTCAATGCAACGACGAAAAGGTCCTAATGTTGTTGGTATTTATGGTATATTTCAACCTATTGCAGATGGCTTAAAGTTAATAGTAAAAGAACCTGTACTTCCAAGTAGTGCAAATTTAGTAATTTTTCTTTTTGCTCCCGTATTAACTTTTTTATTAAGTCAAGTAGCATGGGCTTCGATTCCATTTGGTGAAGGTATAGTATTAGCTGACATACATGTAGGATTACTTTATGTTTTTGCTATTTCATCATTAGGAGTCTATGGTATTATTACAGCTGGATGGTCTAGTAACTCAAAATATGCCTTTTTAGGGAGTTGTAGATCTGCTGCACAAATGGTATCATACGAAGTTTCAATTGGATTAATTTTAATCACTGTATGTATTTGTGCTGGGTCTCTAAATTTAACAGAAGTTGTATTAGCTCAAACACAAATATGGTATTGTATACCCTTATTTCCACTATTAGTGATGTTCTTTATCTCTTGTTTAGCTGAAACCAACAGGGCTCCCTTTGATTTGCCCGAGGCAGAAGCGGAGCTTGTTGCTGGGTATAACGTTGAATATTCTGCTATGGGGTTTGCCTTATTTTTCTTAGGAGAATATGCTAATATGATTGTAATGAGTAGTTTATGTTGTATATTTTTTTTAGGTGGTTGGTTACCTCCTTTTGATTTTGCAATATTTTACTGGATTCCTGGTATATTTTGGTTTAGTTTAAAAGTAGTGTTCTTCCTATTTGCTTTTATTTGGGTACGTGCCGCTTTCCCAAGATATCGTTATGACCAATTAATGCGTTTAGGTTGGAAAGTACTCTTACCCCTATCGCTAGCTTGGGTAATTTATGTTGCAGGTGTCTTATTATGTTTTGACTGGTTAGCTTAATATAAATTGATTCTAATCTTTAAATCATAATAAATATGCTCTATTTATTTATTTCCAAACCAAACTCAATCAAATTTGCTATTAAAATAAACATAATTTATTATAATATGCTGTACTTGTTTTGTACAGGTTTGGAAATAATTATAACATAATAATAAATAAAATTTATTTTATATAAGTGAAATCTATAATTTTAGTAGTATGTTATCAGAAAAACAATATTTTAAACAATGGTTAGTGGGCTTTACTGACGGTGATGGTACTTTTACAGTTCATAAAGCTGATCCAAAGTATCCTCTAAACAGAAAATTTACATTTAAATTATCTATTTCCATGCCAAATAGTCAAGTGTTGCATTATATACAAAAGCAATTACGTGTTGGTACAATTTCAAAACCACATGATAATATAATCAGTTTTTATGTATCAAATAGAGAAGATTTAATAAATATCATTTTACCTAAAATAAATGAAATTTATATTTTTGATGAATTTTCTTTATTGACTGTAAAACAACACAGATATGATAGATTTAGAAGGTGTCTATTAATTTATGACAATCCATCACTATCGAGTGCAGAAAAGGATAGACGAATAACAGCTATTTGGGGGGAGAAATTACCTGATAATTATAAATCTCATGTTTGGATGTACTATTTAAATCAAGAAGATTTTAAAGCTAAGGTTTTAAAAGGCGAAACCCGATATCATAGTGATCCTCACTTGATAATTAGCAAGCCCTGGTTAAAATAAATTTCATTTATTATCTGGATTTATTTTACTTCGTACAGCTCATGGAAGTTTTGTTTTTAAAGCCATAGGCACTAGTACCAAAAAAAGTATAATACACTTTTTTAACCTTACACGAAAGGAAGATCTTCATTTGTTAGAAGCATTTCGTAAAATGTTTGGTATTAAGGCTAAAATAGCGATTAATAAAAAAATTTATTATAACTTAACTACTGGAGCTTCTTCATCTATTGAACAAATTATTAATTATTTCACTGCTCCCGACAATAGTTATAGATATGCAATAAAAAGTTTAAAAAGCGTAGAATTTCAAATATGGGTCCGCTCTTATCAAAAATATAAAGGTGATTTCGAAAGGTTGCAAAAAATACAAAAATTTGTTCGCAAATTACGCACTAAAAACTATTAAATAAATTCAGAATAGATTACATTAGTTGTACCAAGTGTACGAAGGAAGTAACTTCGTAAGTGTACGAAGGAAGTAACTTCGTTCAACCAAGTAAAATAAATATAGTCAAAACGAAGTATTTTTAGACTACAAAAACCTAAAATTTAGTTGATAAAATTAGAGTTAGTTATTTTTAATCTTTTCATTTTATGGTGTGTATTTGCCGTATTATTGAATAATAAATAAGTACACACCATATAATTTATTATTCTAAAATAACTGACATTCATAAAGAAGCTGTGGACAATAAGATATTATACTAAAATAAACTATCCTTATAATTCTTTAATATATCTAGCTACAATCAAAGAAAAATTCTTTTGGATTTTTAAATATTTAAAAATTCTCAATAAATAGTATAATCAATTTTATTTTATTATACAATTTTTACATAACTTTATTATGTAAAGCTATCTAAAACATAGGCAATATATACAAAAATTATATGTTAGACGGAGCAAAATTAATCGGAGCAGGTTGTGCGACAATCGCACTTGCTGGTGCCGGCGCTGGTATTGGTATTGTATTTGGATCATTAATTAATTCAGTAGCTCGTAACCCAAGCTTAACTAAACAACTATTTGGTTATGCTATTTTAGGTTTCGCGTTAACTGAAGCGATTGCATTATTCGCTTTAATGATGGCATTCTTAATCCTTTTCGTATTTTAATTATTTTCTTGTTTGGAGAAACTATAATCTTATATGATTTTCTCCAAACAAAATCTATATATATAACAACGTAGCATTGTTATGTTGTTATATATATAGATTGTTTTCAGTAGTGAGACTATACAATAAAATACTCTTTATTCTATACTCGTGTAAAACAAATTCAATTGAAACTTCTTACAACCAATCGAATTTATTCTCGATATAAAACGAAATGTAGGTATAATGAGGGCGGAATAGTTCAGTGGCTAGAACGATGGAATCATATCCCATAAGCCGAGGGTTCGAATCCCCCTTCCGCTAAAGCATGAAGTAATGCCTTCCGCTAAAGCATGAAGTAATGCCTTCCGCTAAAGCATGAAGTAATGCCTTCCGCTAAAGCATGAAGTAATGCCTTCCGCTAAAGCATGAAGTAATGCCTTCCGCTAAAGCATGAAGTAGTGCCTTCCAAACCTTTCGATGGGGCATGAAAGTATGAGGTAAATTATAAATTATCGAGTTAAAATACTTGGTACAACTTAAAATAACGGAATAAATTCCATTTATTCTGTTATTTTAGATGCATATAGTACATAAAACAATAAAATTATGAAAATTTCTCTAAAATCTCAAAATAATTCTAATCTATTAGGCACAAATTTCACACCTGTTAGTATATATAATGAAAATGTTCATGCTGCAGAAATGTATAAAAAATGTTTATCATTTGCATACAATGATAATCCGTTGTATAATAATTTTCAAGGTGTACCAAGTAAAATAAATGAAAATTATTCGGAAATAAAAATGATACAGAAAAAAAATTCAAAACGATTTTCTAGGTTTGGAAATTTGAATGTAGAAAAAAAAACTCAACAAGTAGTTTTTTCTACATTAACAAGAATCTATTTAAAAAAGAATATAAATTTATTATTTCCAATACAAGATTTTCTTTTTGAGTGTAATAAACATGTAAATAAATCAACAGGTTCAAGGTCAAGAGAATATTTGGAAATTCTTTTATGTGTTAAGAAACTAAAAATGTTTTATGGATATATTCCTTTAAAACAATTACATAGAATTTTATCTCAAGCATCAATCATGCCTGGGAATTTTTCAAAAAATTTCTTTTCATTAATAGAAAAAAGATTAGATGTCGCGTTATACCGTAGTGGTTTTGCAAAAACTATAGTAGCAGCAAGACAAGCTTGTAGACATTCTAAAATTTATGTAAATTCTAAGATTTGTCGTTTTCCTAGTACTCTACTAAATCCGGGAGACGTGATTTCATATACACCTAAAAAAAGTCCATATACTCTATACAACAAAACTCAATTTTCTACTGAAAATGATAAAATCCAAAAACCAAATTTTTTTCTTTTTGATGAAAAGACTCAAATTCACTTTGACTGTGCACAACATAGATTAAACGATTCATTAGCACTCCTAGTATCATTCTGTGGAAAATGTGTGTCAAATTCTATTATACTGGATAATAAAAATAATAAACAAAGTTTACAAATTAAACAGTCTAATAAAAAGAGTATAGTGCTCGATAGCAATTTTAATCCTAACATATCTAACGTGAAAACTTTTGGCATCCCTCGATTTACCGCTATTGACAACAGTCATTACATTGATAATACTGGTTTTTTTTCATCAAATCAGTCCAAAATAAATAAAAAAGACAATAGCTTAGATTATTTTTCTTTTATGGAAACAATGAAATCCACTAGTAAATCTAATCTAAAATTTGGTACAAGTTTGGAAACAAAAAATAATACATATTTTTCAAAACAAACAAAAAAAATTTTTTATTTCCGAATAATTTTCATTTATTTAACCTTGAAAATTTGATTTTTTTATCAAATCAAATAGAATCGTATTGTGTTGTATTGGCATTAAGATTAAAAAAAAAATTATTAATTTTAAAAACTATTAATAATTTTAATACTAAAACAATAAAAAATAGAAAAAAACAAATTGATACCATTTTGTATGCAAATACGTCTAAGATTGAAACGGATTTAGCAAAAATCAACAAACCGATCCATTTAGAAATTTCTAAAATTACAAATAGTATTATTTTTTTATATTCGCCACAAAGAATATACTTACCTTTTCATTTAGATATTGATATTCTAAGAAAAGGCATGAAAAAATAATTTGATAATAAATTTCATTTATTTTAATAAATTTCATTTATTTTAATAAATTTCATTTATTTTACCCAACAAACGAAAAATAGAGCAATATTTTATGCCTACAATCAATCAATTATTACGAAAAAAAAGCTCTAGACAAGCTCCAAAACTTAAAAGTAAAAAACCAGCATTAGCTGGATGTCCTCAAAAAAGAGGTGTATGTTTTCGTGTATACACACGAACACCTAAAAAGCCTAATTCAGCACTAAGAAAAGTAGCAAAAATTCGTCTATGTAATGGAATTGTAGTTATTGCTTCTATTCCAGGTGAAGGCCATAATCTTCAAGAACATAGCGTAGTATGTATTCGAGGTGGTCGTGTAAAAGACTTACCTGGAGTGAAATACAAAGTAGTTCGTGGTCGATTAGATTTACAAGGGGTTATTTCTAGAAAACAATCTAGGTCACTCTATGGAACACCAAAAAGTAAAGCATAATGATGTTTTGTTTCGTCTCTAAAAAAAAATGGATATAATAGATCCAATTTATTTTAGACAAAACAAAGCATTATTAGTGTCTTATTTAAAAAATAAACGATATAATAAATAAATTATATGAACGGTCAAAAACAATACGGGACTACAAGAAATACTGTAATCAATAGTAATAAATTTATAAATTTATTAATGATAGATGGTAAAAAATCTGTAGCTGTACAATTATTTTATGATAGTCTGTTAATCTTAAAGCATAAAAAATTAAAAAAAAATGTATTTTCAGACCAGACTCCAAAGGATACAGTTAAAATGGATAAAATCCACATGAATCATAATCAAAGAATAGGTAAAGGGAAAATAAACGAAGTTCTAGAAAAGGGAAAAATAAATTACATTTATGAATTTAATAAAAAAGCTCTTGAAGAAATTACGATACCCTTAAATAATGATTCTATGTCTATTGAAATGTCTTCATTACTTGAGGTAGTATCGATAGCGATAGAAAATGTAACACCTAGTGTAGAATTAAAAAAAGTACGAAGGGCTGGAAATACATTTCTAATTCCAGCTATATTATCACAACACAAAGCAGACACTCTAGCTATGCGATGGATAATTGAATCAGCACGAAAAAAACAGCAAGGTTCATCGCAAAATTTTTCAGAATGCCTAGCAGATGAAATATATCAAGCCTATTCCAAACAAGGAAAAGCTAGACAAAAACGCGATGAGTTGCATACTGCAGCTATCACCAATCGTGCAAATATTCGTTATCGTTGGTGGTAATAAATCTTAACGGAATAAATGATATTTATTGTAATAAATATCATTTATTTTAACCTGTTTATTTCACTATATGGATTGTGGATTACACTCTTATAGTACTTGAGTAAATAAATATGGTCCTTTTTATGTTTTTTGCGTTGTTTATTAAACAGTACAAAAAACATAAAAATATAAATTATATAAAAGCATTTATAAAAATATGTATTTAGAACAATCTTTTCATAAACAGATATCCTTTTCGAGTTTTTTATTTGAAAATGACTTTCTAGCTCTGTTTCCGGAGATATTTTTAGTATCTACTGGAATTTTTTTATTAGTTTATGGAGTAATTACTAGTACATCAAAATCATTAAATTATCCATTATTATCGTATAATATCAGCTGGTATGCGATAATGGCCTTGTTATATACTTCTTTATTGATTTATAATAGTCCAATAAATAATGCTGTGTTACTCTATAACACACTCGTTATCGATGATTTCACTCAATTTGTAAAAATTACATGTTTATTATCAAGTGCATGCTGTATATCAATGTCATTACAATATATCCAAACACAAGGAGACAATGCATTTGAAACTTTAATATTAATACTATTTGCTGTATCAAGTATGTTATTTTTAACATCATCAGCAGATTTTATATCACTATATTTAGCAATAGAACTTCAAAGTTTAAGTTTTTATGTGTTAGCTGCGTTAAAAAGAAATTCAGAATTTGCAACTGAAGCAGGACTAAAATATTTTTTACTTGGGGCTTTTTCTTCAGGTTTATTAATTTTTGGTTGTTCTTTAATATATGGATATACTGGTGTACTTTCATTCTCTGAATGTGCTAAAATTTTTGCAGCAGGTGTTGTGCCATTTGATGGTATTCAAGCTGTAACAACAGAATCGGCACTTGTTTCATTAGGAATGGTATTTATACTTGCAGGATTTTTATTTAAAATAGCTGCAGCACCTTTCCATATGTGGTCTCCAGATGTATATCAAGGAGCCCCTACGCCTATTACAGCATTTTTTGTAATTACACCTAAAATCGCATTATTTGCAGTGTTTCTTCGTGTATTTTTACAAAGTTTTTATGACTTGTTTCCAATTTGGCAAACACTTGTTATTTTTGCTAGTTTAGCTTCTATGCTTGTAGGTGCATTAGCTGCGCTTTCACAAAGTCAAATCAAACGATTAATGGCTTTTAGTAGTATTAACCATGTGGGATATTTACTTGCAGGATTTGCTTGCGCTAGTATTGAAGGAATACAAGCATTATCTATATATTTAATTGTATATATTTTTATGAATATTGCGGTATTTAGTATTTTACTATGTAACATGCGTCATACACATAATAATGGGCTACCTAGAATTAAATATATTACTGATTTAGCTTTTTTAGCTAAAACTAACCCTCTCTTAGCATTTACTTTTAGTATTGCTATGTTTTCAATGGCTGGTATACCACCATTAGCTGGATTCTATAGTAAAGCCTATATTTTTTTCGCCGCTCTTGGAAGTAATCTAGGTGTATTAGCTGTCGTAGGTGTGTGTACAAGTGTAGTTAGTTGTTTTTATTATCTTAGATTAATAAGAATAATGTATTTTAGTACTCCTAAAACTTGGTGTAGTACTGCTCGCGTACCACGAACAAATGCTTTAGCATTAGCAATTTCTTTATTTTTTCTGATTTTTTGTATGGCGTACCCTGCACCGTTACACTTGATCACACATAAAATAGCAATTGCTCTATGTGTCTAAATACAATTCTATGTATTTAGACAAACAAATAAATCGAATTTATTTTAATAAACTTCATTTATTTTAACTTGTACCAAGTATTTTATTGGCCTCGACAAATAAAAGCACTTGCTCAAAAAAATAAAAGCATTATATTATAATGGGTACTTTTTCGGTACATACAGTATATAATAAGTACTTTTATTTTTTTGAACAAGTGCTTTGTGTACAAAGTAAAATAAATCAAATTTATTGTAATTTATTATATACAATTTAGACAAACAAAAAAAACAAAGTTTAAAATCATTTTTATGCAACAAGTACAATTAAAATTAAAATCATTTGATCCGTTGTATATTAATCAACTGGTTTCTTTATTTGATGAAATTTTATATACTTTGGAAACACCGGATTCTAAAGAAATATTTATCCCATCTAAATTAAAGAAAATAACTGTAATACGTTCTCCACATATACATAAAAAATCTCGAGATCAGTTTCAAATTAAAACATATAAGAGATCACTGGTACTTTCTTTTGCAAATATAAATAGTCTCCATGCTTTTATTGAAATTTGCAAAAATCTACATGTAGTTGGTGTACAAATCCATATCTCTATTAAACACCAAAGTGGTTATAATAAATAACAAAACGATATAATAAATTTCATTTATTGTACGAAGAAAAATAACGTATATTCTTTATGAATATCAGTTATTTCAACTTGTTATTATAACGAATGCATTTTTTTCGGTAATTTATGCGTGTTTTTTAATTTAATAAAAAAACAAATAAATAGATCGCATAAAAATTATAATTCTAATAAATTAATAAAAAATTTTCAATATATTATGGCAAGTAAAAAAAAACTTATACAGTTATCTAAAACTGCCAGCATTTTACAAAATTCTCGATACGTTTTATTTATACAACAAACTCAAAAAAAAAATATATCTAATCTAAAAATTGATTTAGGTCTGGATACAAAAAATAATATACGTATTTTTCAATATAAAAACACTATTATACAAAAATTTTTGGCAGATAGTCCGTTTTTATATAATAATGATTGTATCGTTTCTAAATCTTTAGATAAATCTAGAGCTGGGGTTCCTACAGATAAATCTAGAGCTGGAGTTCCTAACTTAGGTTTGGATAGAAAAAATATTAATTTTTTAAATCTTTTTCAAGGACCTAATATGCTTTTAGCTGGTATGAATTTAAATCAATTACCCGCTATTTGGAAAGCTCTAAATTCAATACCACATCTGTTTTTTTGTGGAGCCATTATAGATAAAACAGCGTATAATCATTTGGACTTAAAAAAAGGAATTGAGTGTGTATATAATACATCAAGTCAAGAAGTTTATAGTCGATTATTAGAAACTTTAAGTCCTGATTCGCAACTAAACGAATTATCTGATGTTCTAGAGAGAAAAATCGAAAATGTTTGGTCTGCTTTAATACAAAACCAAAAAAAATAGTACGTAAGCTTCTATTTTATAATCAATTATATATCTATTTCTATAATTATGTGGATTTATAAAACAAAATAAATATAAATTTCATTTGATTCGGTGTTATTCATTAAATCCAACCACTTGCTTTTATTTATTATTTACCATGCAAAAGAGATTATAATAGAAGTTTATATACTTTTTATATATGTCGTCCAATTTCATATCATATTCATAAATTTTGTTTTATTAATATGATATTTATAAATCCGATTGGTTGTATGAAATTAAAACAACTGATATTCATAAAGAATATACGTTATTTTAATTCGTTTACTTCGTTGAACGAAGTAACTTCGTTCAACCAAGTAAAATAAATGAAATTTATGTCTATTTGTTTATTTCTAAACCAAAACTTCATAAAATTCAAATCGTTTTAAATAAACAACTGTTTTGTAGATTATATAGGACAATCTATATATTTACATACAAGTAACATCTATAAATAAATGTAATTTATTTTAGCAAAATAATCTGATATCTATATATAACTCAAATATAGGTTTTAAATACTGGGACAATATCATCTCCAGAAAAAACAACAAAAATAAATAAAAATAAATTAAAAATGGGACAAAAAACAAATCCAATTTCTTTAAGATTACAAAATGTAAATAGAAATTTTGATAGTACTTGGTATAGTGATCATTTTTACGCTAAGTGTTTTTCTAGAGAACTTTTTTTAACTAATTATTTAAATACATTTTTAAAATTAGTTAGGCTTCCACAAGCACGCGTTAGTGTAAATTTCGGTATACAAAATATAAAATTATATCCTTTTTTTTGTATACCAAGAGCATCTCGTGTATCTCTTGCTAAAAATCTAGGATTATTTCAACACCTTTCAAAAGCATGGAGTAATCTACCTAAATCTTTTGTATCTTTAAAATCAAAAAAATCTGGTTTGGGTTGGTTTGGGAATGATAAAAAAAGTAAATTAGTTGCAACTAATTTACATGATAATCTTTTTTTTAAAACTATTCCTAAAATTAACAAACCACACGTATTTCATGAAATAAGTAAAAAACTTCATAATAACAATAATTTACACGAATCTAATCTTGTTAATGGGTCTATTACTCTTGCAAAAAAACCAGAACATCAAGTGGGTGCACCCAATTTTTATTTTTTAGAAAATATTAGTGCTAAATTATTATTAAATTCTTTAGTATCAGACTCATTTTGGTCTAAACAAACACCAAATTTAGAAACAAATACATCTAAACGTAATTTAAAAAATTTATTATTACAATATTATCTAGTAGGTGCAAGAAAAGAATCTGGATATAATAACGATATTGCATATCAATCCAACGATCTTACAAATACGGGACTTGAACATATATCTAATCATTTATTCGTTGATGGGTTTCAAAATAAAGAGTATAATTCGTTAAATAGTGAAAATATTTTTAAATATTCTCTACAAAAGAAAGGATCTAATAAAATTAAAGGTTTGACTAAAACCAATGAAATGAAAACTATTGGTGTGACGCATGTGACGCAAAATATGTCTTTATCTTTTATGCCAGCATTACAAAAAGATCATTTTGAGACTGATCAAAAATTATATAATAAACTTGACTCATCAACTCAAATTCAAAGCTTAAGTAAAATAAACGAAGTTTATAAAACCAATGAAATTAATTCGTTACTTGATACAAACAATTTATTAAAATTTGGTCTGGAACAAACTAATATTTATAATGCATTAGATAGCACTCGATCAATGATTTCTCAAAAAAAGTTTAAATATAAAACTCATATTGAGAATTTTTTATCATCACACTATAATATTGATTTACAATTATTTCCTTTTTATAGTAAACAAAATTGGCAAAGTGCTGGTTTCGTAGCTGATGAAATAGTCTATTTTATTGAACGACGAGTTTCTTTTTCAAGAATCAAAAATAGAATATTAAGACAAGCAAGTATGCAACCATTTATTAGAGGTATACGTATTACTTGTAATGGGCGTGTTGGGGGTAAATCTAAAAAAGCACAGCGTGCTACTCAAGAATGTGTTAAATATGGTGAAACATCTTTACATGTGTTTGACTGTAAAATAGATTTTGCTTCTAGAAGCGCAAATACTTCTTTTGGTTTAGTAGGTATTAAAGTCTGGATTTGTTTTAAATAAATTTAGAAGATATAAACATCACCTCATTTTATGAGGTAAGGGTTGGGTAACATAATGGTAATGTATGGGATTGCAAATCCTATAATGGCAGTTCGATTCTGCCCTCAACCTTGATTAATGTTGAAAACGTTATTTTAAACGGGTGTGTAGCTCAGTTGGTAGAGCACCGGGCTTTTAACCTGATGGTCGTAGGTTCGAGACCTATCATACCCAAAAATAGAAACAAAAGCGGGGAAGAGCAAATGGTTAGCTCGTCAGGCTCATAATCTGAAGGTTGTAGGTTCAAGTCCTACCCCCGCTCTAAAATGAATAAACAATATTTATTCATTTATTGTACGAAGTAAAATAACGGAATAAACATTATTTATTCATTTATTGTACGAAGAAAAATAACGGAATAAACATTATTTATTCAACAAGTAGTTTTTATAAAACAACAAAACCCTATGCCTAATTCAATATTTAAATCTTCTTTTTATAATAGGATGGTTTGGTCCACAAATTACACTCCTCTTAATAAATCCGGTTCATTTTATTTTAGATTAACTAAAAGAACCATAAAAACTAGTCCCAAAACAAGGAGTATAGGTATCGATAAGGAAACTACTAATTATTACAGAAAAGCAACTCATTTTGGTCATAAATCTATCTATTTATCGGAAACTAATTCATGGCATCCTTCTATGTCTCAATATCATTTAGGGATACGTAATGATATTACTATCTGTAATCTTCAACAAACGCAAAAATGTTTATCAAGAGCATTCTATGTATTGAACAAGATTTTAGAAAATGGGGGTAATGTACTAATAGTAAATACTAATCCAGAATTTTATAAATTATCAATCAATAGTATGAAATTTATAGAAAAAAATTTACCTTTTAAAACTTTTAGACTCCTTTCTTATTGTTTTTATAAATGGATTGGTGGTACGTTAACAAATTATAAACAAATATCTCGATCTATTTATTGTTATATTAAATTTTCACAACGTTGTAGTGACTTCTGCGAAAGAAATAACATAGATTTTACAAGATATCAAAAAATAAAAAAATGTTTTCAAGGATATGGTACTGTTTCTGACAATTCTATAGTTGTGTCTTTACAACACAAACCTGATATTATTTTTTTATTTAATCCTTCTGATAATCAAAATCTTATATCAGAAGCAAATCGATTACAAATTCCAATTATTGGTTGTACTGATACTAGTAGTGATGCAACTGGAATTACTTATCCTATTCCTTGTAATAATACTAGTGTAGAATTTACTCTATATTTATATAAAAAATTATATAGAGTCTTAAAAAATTTAAAATAAATAATAAACTTTATTTATTTTAGGTGTATATCTATAATATAA